CCCGCACAGCCCACCTGGGAGCCCGCACAGCCCACCTGAGAGCCCGCACAGCCCACCTGGGAGCCCGCACAGCCCACATCAGGGCGCCCCAGAACAACACAGTATGCAGCTTCATATTATTTTGTATTGCTGTATAATGTGTTGCTGGGATTTGTAGTCCTCTATAGCCGGTCTCCTTCCTCCCTCCCCTGGCTGCCTCTCCTCGTGCGGCGCTAGAGTGTTCGGGTTTCTCTTGAAGAGAAGGTGGCAGCCCTGGCTGCAGTACACGTGCGTCCGGACTGCGTTCTCTTAGTAGGGAATGAAGGCTGAATGCCGGAGACTTGAAGGCACCTAAACCTCGTTCTTTGAATGAAATGTGAGCAAACAATGAGGTAAGATATGAGGAGTTTAGTGGTCAGGGGGCAACCTGCACCTTCTACAAGAGTCCGCTTAGCTGGACGTATAAGAACGGGAACCCGGTGGAAGAATCTCTTATCGGGCGCGGCCGGCGTTGTTTGCGTCTGAAGGTAAATTCAGCGTTTTGAATGATCTTCTAACTGATCCCGAAACCCTCTGACGCCGGCCGCCTTTCATAATGTGAGGAAGCGAAATGTATACATGCCGACACGCAAACATGCAACCTCCGTAACAAAGCCCAAGCCAGCTGGATGTGCCCTTCCCCTGCGCCACGGAAGCCCAGATCGCCCTCAAGTCTCTGAGCCCCGATGCCGAGCCGAGGAAAGGAGGCGTGAGCAAGACCCTGAGCCTCAAAGACAACGTTCTACAGGTGTAAGTATTTGTCCCGGAGCCGCCAGTCAGATTGAGAGCCGATGGGCGGGGCAGATGGGCGGAGCCTGAACCCGGATGTATAGGGCGATACAGAATAATACTTCTCTCTCTGTAATAAATCCCGCCCATTCGGAGTGGACCTGTCGGCGGTATCGGCCAATCATTTCATCGATCTGCTTCGGGCGGCGGGTCTTCACGTGGTGCCGGTTCTGTCTCTCTGGTGTCAGTACGTGAGTCCGTTATGTTCTCTCTCTCCTCAGGCACTGGCAGGCAGATGAAGCTCGGATCCTCCGCGTGTCTGTGAGCTCCTTCCTGGAACATCTGTCCCTTGTGGTGAAGACGATGGAGAGATTCGGGCCGGCCCTGACCGATCCCTGACCACCGAGGCGCACGCCGGAGCCGGAGCGTATACAGAGGATTGCTGCAGACTGGAAGCCGGGTGTCATCCAGAGGTGGGACCTACCTGTACAAACCGGTTCCCTGCAAACATACTGGGGGGGGGGGGGGGG